ACCAGTGTAGAGATATTCCTGCAGTGTTGTAGAAAGGTCAGGGGTTGAACGTTTCCCCCGTATGACAAATGTGAAGAAATATGGCTTCATGGATACCAAGTGCGGACCCGTTTCATTTCTGATTTTCCTAAGTGTATATGTATGTATGTATCTGTGGGTGTTGCTTTCGCCACACGCAGAGTTGGCTGGGCTTGCCGTTATCAGCGATTTGATCTTCCAATTGGCACAAACGCCTTTTCGTATGCCATCTCGGACTTTGGAGGTTGTTGTATGCTACATGAGGCCCGGCGGCAGCAACCACAGCAGCTGCAACAAGATGTCCAAATAAGTCCGCAGAGTTTGCTGCCCATCCATCTACATCTGTTTGCCCAGCCACTTCTATGATTCTTCGAGCTTTAAGAATCCTTAGCACGGAGCATTTTGCTTACATGCCATAGATCCAATCGAAGCGTTGGCCGCTTACCACCTCATCGCAATTCCTTTCATCGATACTTGCGCTGCAGAGGAAGGTGACGTTATTGGCTGTTACATCTGCATTCCGGAACCGNTCCTTTCATCGATACTTGCGCTGCAGAGGAAGGTGACGTTATTGGCTGTTACATCTGCATTCCGGAACCGGTTTCGTGGCCTCCAGACCCTCGTGAAGACAGCAAGCTGTATGAATTTCTGCAAGGTCAGTCAGAAGTCAGGAATCTGGTGAAATTTCACTGACTTTCACCAGCAGCGATACGGCGAGGATATCGATGCCAGAAAGGATACTTAGGGTAGATGCAGTAGAAACTGACACCAGAGACAACTCGCTGGAGCCAAGACTTGTGCAGAGCGGCCAGGGTGCTACAGAGAAGCGGCGTGATGTTTCATATTTTGCTGTTTTTGCTTCAGCGGGCATCCTTTGTTGCCCGGAAACGCCACCAGAGCCCAGGCGCAGCAAACCCGAGGAATCTTGGATAGACTTCTCCTTAAACGGGAACAAGTAACATTGTACATGAAAATACGTGATAGAGATATATTTTTGTGCTTTCTGCGCAAGCATGGACGTGTGAATGACCCTGTCGTCGCCTGGTTCCATGCGTTCTCCGGCTAGTTCAAGCCCACGTACAGTTTCGGAACTGCAAGAGTCTTTCTGCCACCGCGTACTATTGCATGCATCCCCTGATAGGCTGCGCACGGTCGTGCCAAGCCATCGTATACTGTGTCCGCAATGTGGCTGCGTGCAGATTGCCGCGAGTCTTCGCTGGAATCAGCGAGGGCGACTATCATCCAGCGATATCCCTCTACATGGGCGCCAGGCTGCGCTTTAATCCCGGTAAAGTGACTGCTGCTGCTCGACGTCATCTGATGGTTTAAAGCTTTCATGTTGCGGCTGTAGCTGCTCACACCGTGCGCTCCCTTGTATGAAGCTACTGTGTGCCGTCCGTGCTCTTCTTCTCAGGTCCCGACTTCAAGTACCCTCCGGCAGAGTCTGAAGGGGCTCTCGGTGCCTGCTGCATGCAACGCCCCTTCATCCCCTGATGGTCGAGGGCTCGGGATCATCGCTTCTGTGTAGTTACCAGCTGATTTTTCTGTAACTAAGGCAATGTATTCACTTCTCAACCAGATAAAGCCCGACTGGTTCTGTGTAGTTAACGGGTAGGCCACGCCGTACCCACAATTTATGATCGACCTGAACGAATGGAGCAATACGTTTTTGTGTGGCTACTGAAGGAAAGGTTTTTAGATAAAAGCATGCAGCTGCATTACCAAACTAGGCAATGCAACAACCTGCTACTATGCCCATAACAATAAAAGCCAGCCGTTCTCTGGGGTTGTCCCGCATCGTAGCGTGACAAAAAGCCTCGACACTGGCGCGTGTCTAACAGTGGCTTCCCGGCGGTCGACGTGCGCACGCAAATTAATGATTGCCATCTCAACCCGCGCAAAATACAAGAAAGCGGGGAGTGAATCAAATGCAGAAAAACGGAAGGATAACGTTCTTTTTATGGGGCACAGAATCGCCTGGGTTGTGAATATACACGTCCTCTTCGGGGAGTAACTGTATGTAACGAGCAGCCATGAGGTAGAAACCAGAGCATCAGGAGAAATCCAGAGAAGGCGATCTTGATGTTAGTTAGACGATGCATCTGGAGCTGCCGCTGAATATCTTCCAAGGGGCGGCGTTCATCAGCGGCTGTGGAAACCGTCTTAAAAAACAAACAAGTAGGCGATGAACGTACAGAAAAAAAAAAAACATTTAATAGCTTCGTGGACTCCCATGCATACGCAAAATAAGGAGCATACGGAGCGGCCGAGATTCGCATGAACTTCGTTCAGGCCCTTGTAAATCTTGTAAACGGGCGTCCGTTTTCTTTCTCTGCAGTCCTTCCGAGCTGCGCACACAATTCCCTTTTGCTTAGGAGGTGGAAGCGTCGAGATGTTCCACGTCTGGCTCTTCGACAGCTGGCTCAACCGGTGCGGAGGCAGGGTTACTGGCTTCGCTTGCGGTGTCGACCTCCCCATAAGAGGGAAAGAAAAAGGACCCCGGAGGCAGCAATTCGCGGAGGTCAGTAGTCTTCAGATCCATGTATGGGAGGTCTACCGTACTAGAAGGAAGTTCTTGAACATCTTCCCCTTCTGTGCGTTGCGATACCGCTCTTGACTTGACGAGCTTTCTACGCATCAGCAGCGCTAAAATCAATAGAGCAAACACCATTGTGGAGAGCTTGATACTGGATGAAGGCGAGGGGTCTTCAGGTGTCATTCGCTGAGTCCCGCCGTCTCTCGATGAAGGCAAGGGGTTTTCAGGTGTTAATTCCTGATTTTCTTCGTCTGCTGAGTTGTATGACCTCCCGGACTCGCTCGCAGTGAAGGCGTCTGGCAATGCATATCGACGTCGTTCAAGTGAGCTGCTAGAGGCCATCTTCTCGCGGGTTTCTCCTTCTGTCCTCCCCGCAGAGTCATCTGCAAACAGCATATCAAACCGAAATGCAGGAAACTGGTGTACCTCTACTTCTAAAAAGGTTACGTGTGGTCAAGAACTATTCGAAGGCCAGGCTCAACGTGTTGCGCTTCTTGAGGGGCAGGCTGAACGCCAAGACGAGCAGCATGCTCCATAACTGGGCCGTGGTCCGCAGTCACGGGTTTTCCAC